ATCCTGCTGTTTTTTTTTTTTTTTTTAGAAATTTCTCGGTTGTTCAGCTCTGAAATTATACTAAAACAATTATTTGCCTCAGGTTCGATGAATATTGTCGAATAATCCCCTCGACTCCGTCTCAGGGATTATTCAACAATATTCACCTCACCTTTGGCGAATAATTGTTAAATAAACACTTTTTAATCAACTTCATTGTCACAGGGGGATAAACAACTAAATGATGCTGGCAATTGACCACTTTCATAAATGGCTGCCGAATTAATATTATTTTGTTTAAATTTAAATTAGCTCTTCTGGCCTCACTTGAGATAATGTATTCTTTTGAATTTTGTACTGGAGAATGAGGCCAGAAGGGCTAATTTAAATTTGAACAAAAGAATGTTAATCTGGCAGCCATTTATGAAAGTGGTCTATTTAACTGCATTATCCACAATAGCAGGAATGTGAAGAGACAAAGTTATCAGTTGGAGAATTAAATCTTGATTTGAAAGCATTTACTCTAAACTTAGCAAATGTATTGCAACTAGAAATAGGGAGAGTTACTGTATTAATCAAACCACTGACAGGGGGTTAAAGATTAACCCTACAACTCCCCAAGATGTGATTGCTTACATTCTCTCCTCTGGCTGTTACACATTTCCTTGTAAATTAGTTACAGGATTTGGTGTTAGATCAAGATGACAAATTCTACCTGAGAAGTTTGTGTATTCTCATCACCTGTGTGCTGGATAATGTATGGATATTATAGTGAGAAGTTACATGTTAATCACTCCTTTTGGTGGTGGTATTTTTTTTTTTAGATGCAAAAGAAAGGTCCCTGCTCACAAACAATTTCTGATACATCGTGCACCAAACATTTTAACTTTACAGCTCAAAAGGTATTGAAACAAAATTGTCTGGTATTTTGCTTTGATCATGTTTAATTGTCATGGCTATATATTATGTGTTTCTGTGGCAGTATGGATCATAAATTGACTAGTTCTTCATGTTTGTTGACTTTTTGTGATGCAGGTTTGACTACCATCAGAGTTTTGGAGGAAAAATATCAAAACACATTGAATACACAGAATATCTGAACTTAAGACCTTATATGACATCCCAGGTAAAAAAAAAAAAATTAATATATTATATATATATATATATACATTGATTCATTTATTGATGTGAACCATAGAATATTTAACAGGATTCAAGTGTTTTTCTTCAATCAGAATTTTTCAAACCAGTTTGATCTTAACATTTGTTGTTTTAATTTATGATTATGGTACCATAATGCATAAAGAACATAGAAAAATTAGCCTAAAACCAGTTAAAATATTTTAATCAACTGTGAACGAACCAGAAATTGAACCTCACAAAATTGTCCAAAATTCCACTAAATTTCACCACTTGGCATGGCAATTTTAATTTTTTTCTTTTATGTTGAAAAAATTTAGGGTCCCCCTATAAGGTATCGGTTATATGCTGTACTTGTGCATTCTGGGTACTCTGCAAATTCTGGTCACTACTATTGCTACGTCAGAGCTTCTAATGGCATTTGGTACCAGATGAATGATTCTATGGTAAGAACTGATTTAAATTGTCTTTCATTTTTTGGTTGGAATAATCAGAGTTGTGTAAATAACAGAAATTGCCTCTTGCAGTTCTAGATTACATCTTATTTCTTTTGTGCTAGGGAGAAAGTTATGCCTTATTGTCTTTTTTATTCTTATGATTTATTAAATTTATCAATCAAACAGAGACTTTCTGTATTGTAGATTTTCCAGAGCATGGCGTACCCCATGGAAAGGATCTTTTATTATTTTTTCCAACAGGTCAGACAAGTTGCACTGAAAGCAGTTCTCTCTCAACAAGCATATCTGTTGTTTTACATCAAACAGAATCCCAAACAGGAATTAAAGGTATTTATATGAAATTATTATATTGAGCTTTTTGTTGACATGAGTAACTAACATTCAACTTTTGCTGACAATATCAAATTTGAAGTGATTAGAAGAGAGAAAAACTATCAAAGGGAGACTATGTTTGATGGTAGACCTATTTTTTTTGTCATGATAATACTGTAGACTAACTGTCTAGAACCCAAAGATGATTCAGCTTTTCATTGTTGTACATCTTTTTTTTTTTTATTATTTTCTTGTGTCTTCAAGTCCCCTCTGACCTCACCTAAGACTGTTCCTATGCCAAGAACTCCTGTTACTCCAAGAGACAAATTGCCAAAAGTCATCCGATCCAATGGTGAGTTGTCCTTGATATTGTACCACTTACAGTTCTCCGCTTCATATTCATAAGAAAAAAATTAATTAAAGGCAATTTTAACTACTAAAGTGAAAGTGTCCATAGTGGATCTGTCATGACAGCGAACTGTCAGTCAGTTGCATTCCATGTGAAGCATCTCCTGATCATCTGTTGTGTTCAACATTTTTTATTGATTTAGCAATTTTTTCACATTTTAAGGTTTGGCTGGGAAACAATGGAATGCCACAAGCGTGGCTGCTTTGCTTGGTCTTATTAACTTTGCTCGCATCCGTAAAGAAATTACACTTTCAATTAAGTTGTCATTTGTTAGAAATACAGTGCCTCACGGTTAGTTTGCTGGACTCCAAATGGTAGATGGGCCTGTGGCCTGGTGGATCCATTTTGTAGGAGAAGGGGGATAAGATACAATGCGAAGGGCAAGGGTAGTAATTGGAGGGTTAAAATCCAATCTACGTGAGAATCAGTACCTCTCTTTGTTTCATGCTGATGAAGATGGGAAAATCTTCAGCAAGAAACAGCTTCTAAGCTCATAAGACTTCACTGATTAAGTATTCATTTGAAATGGCTCCTTTGTCTTTCTCTGCAATGTTTAATTGAAAATGTGATGATCTTTGTACCAAACAGAACACAATGCACACCCAGTAATGTTCAGGAACTAAATTTGAAGACCATCGTTTAACCATAAAATCTTCTCTTTTTTTAGATGTGGGAACTCCTGTCAAATCTGGAATAATTTTTCATAGACAGTCATCATCAACCTCTACAGTCACGAAACCGTCAACTACACCAACATCAAATCATGCTCCGTCTGCACCCCTGGCACCTCCATCACAGAGACCCAAGTTTGCATTTACCATTTCTCCTGGTAATAAAGGAAACAAAACAGAACCAATTGCAGCCAAACGGGAAGAAAAGGATAAGGATGAAAAGATGGGAATGAAGGAAAAGTTGAAGAGCCCCAGCAGTGAAAGTGTTTCTTCCGAGATTAAGTCTCCAATCTCTTCGTTGGGCAAAATTTCTGAGACTTTTTCAACTCCAGATACTTCAAAAACTTTGTCAAAGTCTGACAGCTCTCCAGTCGAGGGAAAAGAGCAAGCTTCAGGAGGGCAGAAAGATAAAAACAAGGAAACCTCAGATGAAGGTCTCACACTAAGAAAGGAAAATAAGGGAAAAAAGTTGTCTCCCAAGAAACCTCGTCCTCCGCCGTTATTTATTCCCAGGCCTGTAATCCAAGGGAAAGGAACATCTAGCAACACACGTAAGCTACATCTTCTTGTTTCTTGAACTGAAGGGAGCCAAGATTTTTCTTTTTGAACAAATTCTTAGCTGCAAAAACTTCGACTGTTATGTTCGCACTGCAGTGTGCCACCAATAATAGATATTCCTGGGGGCTGATTTTGATCACTATATTAAAAGAGTGATTTTAAATTATTGCTTTGCTTTACTTAACTTGGTGCTTTGCTCAGAAAAGTTGTGCCACACTCTTAACCAACCAGATGCATAAGTGAAACAAATCACGACTTTGCTTCCCATGTTTTAACTCCTGTGAGTGACCAAGACAGAATTTCTCCCCACAATGCCAGTACAATCTAAAGCAGACAAGTGATAAGAATCAAGAAAAGTATCAATTTGGGATTATAAGTTGATCCGACACCAAATTCTCCGAGCTGACTTCATAAGAATTCTATGGCAGACAGTAAGGAGACTTGCTAATGAGATCTTGGGAGTGAAAGGGTCAACTGGTTTTTGTTTTGAGCTGTCATTAACATCTTTTGATGTTTTCCTTTGTTCTGGGTGGACGTTTTTAGATTACTTTTGCGTTGTTTTTAAGACGTGCACTCTTAGATGGAAAAGCTGACAGCTGCATGGATCTTCCATGTAGTAAAATAATATTGATATCTTGCAGCAAAGTCTACCACTCTATGGACGGTCACGCCAAAGACAACTTCAGAACCTCTGTTTGGCCCCATGTCACCCCCTCCTCCTGGAGTCGCTCCACCCCAACCCTCACCGTCATCAGCCATGTCAGACACCAGCAGCACCTCTAGCATGATGGGTAAAACTGGCGAGTGGACTGTTTCTGATAAGACAGCCCTTACACCGGGACCTAGGCTCCCAGAGAGACAGCATGCAGGGTGGCAAGTTTCAAAGAAATTTGAATCAGAGAAAGAAGAATCGCGAATTCTACAGACCGAGGAAAATAGTAACATGATTGAGGAAGAAAGCGACAAGAAGAAAAAGAAGAAAAAACACAAGAAAGAAAAGAAGAAGAAGAAGGAGAGGGGTAAAAAGGAGAAGGCGAAGATAAAATATGAGAAGCTAAGTGAATCACTTGATGATGACGAGTTGGATAAAAAGGAAAAAAAGAAGAGAAAACAGAAACATGGTGCAGAGAAAGATGTGAATGAAGTGAGCCAACAAAGTAAACCTGTTGAAAAGTCGAAAAGCAAAAAACACAAGATGAAATGCCGTGATAGTAACGTCTCTCCAAGTAAGAAACGGTTGGTTTCTTATGCTGACAGCAGCTCCAGTTCAGAGAGTGAGCGGGGCACTAGTGGTCAACTGCCTGGGAAATCTACAAATGTAGACTCCAGGAGAGCTACGGTGGAGTCTAGAGGTATATAAATTATCACTGATCGAGATATCTCCTGTCTTTTCTCAGAAACGGCCGATTAAGCTAGTGTTACAAAAAAAATTGCTGCATGCGTGGAACTATTCGCATTGAAAGTGTAGGTAATCCCAACGCTTTCGTCTTTGTTGATCCTGGCAGTAAGTTGGACGTGTCTCTCATTTGAACCTCGTAATGGCCTGGCCCACGGTAGAGTCTCTGTGTCTCAGGGGTAGAGCACCTGAGAGCGGAATACGAAGGTCTGAGGTTCGTTTCCTCGGAGAATCCGAAATTATTCTTTGTCCCACGCTCGTGACAAGACGAAAAAGGCATCTATCTCGAAATTAGTATTATTTCCCTCTATTTCACCGCTATTGGCAAATATTCAAGTTTTTAACTCTTCCTTCCAGTTCCAGTTATTCACGAGGATGAACCAAGGAAAAGAAACGCTGCACGAAGAGCAACCTGGGATGGGTCACGGGATTCATCAGTTGTGGCCCAATTGCTAACAAGCAGTAAAGGTCTCCATGGTTACGGCAGTTCAGGTTTTTTTCTCAAATCCTTGCTACACTTGAAGCATCATGAAATATCTCTTTACGGTACACCCATAGGACGAGAAAAAGCGTCCCATTAGAGGAAATTTGTCCCTTCAGTAAATATGACGGGTACAAATAATGAAGGGGCTTTTTCAAGCCAGGAGTTATCCTTGAAGAGAGTCTCTACTGTGTGTTTACTTTCTCCACTAAACTGTTTTACATTTTTTGTACTTTTGTTTTTCCGAAGTGAGCCCTTCCTAAAAGGGAAGAATATCAACTTAAGATTCAGAGAGCAATTTAAAATACCAAAACTTAATCATAGAAGTGAAAGGATAGTAGTTTCTTTAACAGAAAGAAATACGGAGAAGACGAACAGTCCCTTAACTTAAATTTAGTTGATAATAATCTTCCATTAAGTGTTAAATGTCCGCCTCATCATAACTGTGGTTGTTCCATAGCAATCCGTGTTAATTTTTCTCCGTTCTTCATCATTCTTGTGGTGATTTAAGTTTTTCTTCTTATTTGGGTGGTATTCTATCTCATCAAATTATTTTTTCGCATTTTTACTCGCCTTCAAGGTTATGATTCAGAATCGCCTGGTGGTGAAAAATTTTCTGTACAGTGATTTGGTCGTGATTATACGTCACAGGACTGCGATTGCCCCTTTTTTTCTTCTCATAAAATGTCCGTGATGGCGACAGGGCTGAAGAGAAAAACTCTACATTTTGTATACCCTGATAACACCCTATTCGTTTACCAAGACCTACGGCGCTTATTGTTCAATTTTCAGTGACGTCATGGGATGGCGGCGAAAACACTTTGGATAGAAGTGGCGGGAAACCAGATAGGAAACGACAGCGACGGGACTCGTGGAACGAAGATTATGACAGAGGAAAAGTACGACATTTTTCTTTTTTTATTGCTTGTGCAAAGGATGACCGTCCTATTCAGTGCTCTAATTAATTCGTTTTCAGCGCGTCACTTGCTTTCTTGTGTTTGGTTTCCCAATTCTGACGTGTGAACCTTGGTTTTTTTAATCAATGAAACGATTCACAATTCTGTATCAAAGATAGTACTAAGGAAGAACGTGAGACCCCAATAAGGTGCAGAGTTCCCTCTGCACCGAATGGGTTCATGAAGGTTTCTCCCCACTCTAAGCATTAGAGGCGAACTGACTAAGAAGGGGGCGAAATGGTAAAGGTGGCGGCGAACTGACTTTGTCAGTTCTTAAAGATACTTTTGTACTGTGTCGGTGAGCAAGGGAGCAAGTGGTTTCTTTGTAAGTTGATTCAGTTAGGTTGAGCGTCGGTAAACTGTTAAAGTGAATTTTAAAAAACGACGTTCCGAGCATTAACCCCCCAGCTCGTCTTCTCGGCTTCACCTAATGCCCCAAACGTCAGCTTTTCGAAATTGGCTTCGGCGGTTTACTCACATTTATCAAGTTATGATTGATGATCAACCAATTGAGTCGGTCAGTCGATCAACCAATCAGTCTGTCATTTATTTATTCTTTCAATCAAATTTCATTTCTTATTATTTGCAATCCAGGTAAAGAAGGTAAAAAACAGCAAAGCTACAAGTGAGAGACGTTTTAATGGCAATCCATTCCAGCGAGAACACGACAAACGAAACTCAAAACAGGTAAGCTCCATGGATGCCCTGCGTAATCCTTTACATCCCAACATCAAAATGCATGTTCTCCAAACTTTTCTTTACACATTTCCTGTGGTACTAACAAGGAGAATTTGACAAACAATCAAGAGTTTCTTTAGTAAGCGATCATTTCCTTTGTTCTCATGACTTTTTGTTTGATAATTGATAATTGTTCAGGATTTCATTTCTAATATATACATATCTAAAATATTTTTTTCTATGACTTGTAAATTTGGTTTATTCATAATTATTTATAGTTCAATTCTGTGTGTGTGTGTGTGTGTGTGTGTGTGTGTGTGTGTGTATGTGTGTGTGTACATGTGTGTGTGTACATGTGTGTGTGTGTCCCGATCCTAATATTGTAATTCATTCTATGTAATTTGGCTTCCTAGCCTTGTTAACCTTCTAGTTATTTTAAGAAGCGAACACCCTCTTAGTTTTAATTTTTTATTTGATGTTAATTTAATCTTCTCAAGAGTAAGGGTGAATAAAGTTGTTGTTTTTATTGATTCTGAGGTGATTCTGAGGAGATTCTAGTCACTCTCGGGGGTTAAGGGGTTTGATGTCAACTTCGATCTTTTACTGATCATGTTCGCTGAAAGCACCCGTTAGTAATAATAGTAATCAAAGTTTAATGTCTTTACGTGGGGCATGGTTACCCATATTGCCCAATCCAGAGGCTCGTGTATGAAACGCAAGACAACAACCCACCCATCCCACCCCAGGGGAGGACATCCATCACACAGTGATCTCGTGCGTGGGAAATTAACGTCTCCTACCCGGCCCTAACCCACCTCGGAGACCCAGGAGCTGCGAGTCGATTTCAAGTTAGGGCNGTTTAATTCAGTGAAAATGTGGCCAAAAAAGGTCATCATGAGGAATTCCTTTTAATGTTCTCCATTCATAACAATCCTTGTTTTGTTCCTGGTTGGTTTGTCAATGCCGCTGTTGCTTTTACCTGTCTCAAGAGTTTATATTTTGGAGTCTCCTTAAAGATGGAGGTAGCTTCATACATCATAAAAACTTACCTAAAGCATCTTGTGACGTGAAGCCATTTAGGGCTTGTTTACATGGGGGCGAGGGACCCCGCGTGGGTAAGGTAACCTAGGTGGGGTGACCCGCCTGTCCATATAATCTCGTCTTTTATCTTGATCACCTTTACATGATAAGTGGGGTTAGCCGCCAAGGCGGGTAAGATTGTATGTAAACGTGGGCTATTTTTCGATCACGGCCAGGCAGGTTACCTCACCTACCCGTGGTTTCCCACCTCCATATGAAAAGGTCCTAATTTACATGCACTTCATCGTAGCTATTTTTATGCGAGTCTGTGTTCTCAGGTTTGTAACGATTTTTTTTTTTTCCCAGGAATCCAAGGAGCGTTTTTCAAAGCCGTTTTCTAAACACCGTCACTCTCGCCAGAATCACTTCAGTAAATCGCATTCATCCCGAAAGTACCAAAGAAAGTCCACTTGAGGGAAAACGTCGTGACGGGTTGTGGTGAAGCTAGAGCTTTTGCTTGGGCGAGGGGGGGGGGGCAGAAAAAAAACCAAGGGAGATTGTAAACTGAGAAACGTGGTCTCTGTGCCGCTACAGATTCTCGGAACAAAAAAAAACTAACTTCTAAGGTAGAGTGAAATCTCCACGGAAGGAGAATTACTGCTTAAAGTGTATGGGATTATTAATGAAAGAGAAAACTAGGGCTCTACATGAAGCGATTTTTAATGGCCTGAAGGTCGACAGTGATCGCCCTGTGACTGTTTTTAGAAAAATTATCTCCTAGCAATCTATGGCTTGTCACCTTAGTTGTCTTCTAAGATCTGCCAGTTTTAAAAGTGTATATTCTGTTTGTATAACATTCCAATTTTTTGACCAGGATATATGATAAAAACTTACATGATATCGCACGTAGTTAATTCTATTGTTATAGAGGTAAGGCACCGCATGTCGTTCACCTCTTGCAACTTGGTGTCAACTACAATGAAGCTAGTCTACCAATCAAATATTATAATATCGTTGCTTGTTGTACAAGACATTTTCCTATTGATTTTACAATTTGAATATATGCTCGAATCACAGATTGGTAGTATGATAAAAAGAAATTGGTCCCAGAATGTGTCTTGAGAAAATGCGGGCATTTTTATCGACAGTATCTGAAACATATTAGCTCTAATCATAATATACGTTCCTTTGTAAATACTTTTACGAAAGTCTACCCAGGTTTGGACTCACCGTTGATTTTCCCATTATGGGAGAATTTGGGATTAGCTGTAGTTTTAAGAAGTATTTCTCAATTGAGGGTCGAAAGTAATCCGGGTTGCTTTGGTTTTACTTACTTTGCTCTCTGATTGGTCCCAAGAAACTTGCACCATCGTCTCGACCAATCAGATTCAAAACTTAAAGCAATCGTGACTTGATCAATCATGTTTTCCCGCGCTTCAACTGGCGTGCATGTTTTCACTGAGTTTTCATTGGCTAATGATAATGTAGATCTTTGTTCAGATTGGCCACTGTGATTGCTTTGGGTTTTCGGCATTAATTGAAAAACACTGTTTTTTAACGTTCTCATTTCGTAGGAAGGGATCCTTTTTCCACTAAACGGGTTGTTGAGAGTTACGTTTCCCTCTGCCACTGCCGAACACAAGTAGTTTCACTGCAAATCAAATTCAAGGCATACTTTGGTGCTTTGGGAAATCAATAAACACAAACGAGTTTTGAAAAGAGCTCTTAGTTTTTGTTTTTTTTTTGTTTTTCCTTCAGCCACGACTCCAACGTTCGAGAATTTAAATCAACGTCTGGTTTATGGCCGAAAAGGTAAATGATAGTCAAGTTTGGTTCAGGAAAGGAATCAAAGTTGTCTTCCTACTTTTCGGCGGTTTGCGCTTTTATGTCACGTAATCCCACAAAAGAATCCTTATTAGCTCACGCGATTCATTTTAAGCCTGGTTTCCATATAATCGTCCCTGTCGTAAGGATCGTCTTCGGTGAAAAAACGACAGACGCGATTCTTGCGATAACTGGTTTCAATGAAATCGTATGTATCGGATCAAATGGTCGAAAAGACTGGGACTAGTCACTTTTTGCCGCCAAAACCAAAATCAAAATGGCGGCAGTCGATCGAAGAAGAATATTTTTAGCGTGTTACTTGCTTCTCCGGAATGTTTTGCGAAGAAGAAGAGAGATACTTTTGACTCTCTTCAGGTAGCGTGTATACGTAGTCCGAATGTTCTTATATACTTTTTCTCGGCTTCTGTCGCAGTAAGACCGAATTTCTGGCCGATCGTTTCCCAGGCGTTTTCTCTGATCCTTCTGTTTTTGTGATCCTTGTAGGATTTGTCGTACAGACACTCATAGCGCTGAATTTCTTCCATAAACGTAGAGTTGTTGTTAGAGTTGCTTGCTGCCATTTTGAAGAACGCGCTACAAACAATCAGGTGCATCATGGGATATGTCCCATCGCTTCTGTCGCAAGGATCGTTTGCACCGGTTGCGATCGCTTCAGAGTCATTTCCGGTCGTCTCTGTGGCAAGGATAGAACTCGAGTCTATCTCGGACGACTGATCGTTTCTGTCGCAAGGATCGTCCTGCGTGATCGCAAGAGCGTTTCCATATGATCGTCCCTGTCGCTTCCAAGTAGTTCAAGCGACACAGACGATTGTTGCGACAGGGACGATTATATGGAAACCGGTTAGAATAGTGATTCAGTTTGTCGGTGGGCGGGCTGTCACCAGGGCAACCTCTATCTGCCCTGCTGTCACACTTCTTTTCCTTTGCCGCCAAATATTCCCGCCAAACTATTTGCCGCCAAACACGAGATCTCACACGGAACACGGGATCACCTACGTAAGCCAGGTGAAAAGGCGAGCAAAGTCCACGTGAAACCAGTTTGACAACTGGTAAGTCAAGCTTATTGACGTCAAACTTTCGAACGCTGATTGGTTGTCTCAAAATAAATCTGGCCACTGATTGGTTTGAGACACGTCAGCTGCTAATTATAGTATGGTATTGCATCAGCCAAGGCTTCAAGACACGCGGCACGACCTATGCATGATAAATTTCATCATCCCTTGTTGTAATGGCGGTGTGAAAGCATTGCGGCAAAACCTTCCCGTGCAATTTATTTGCACCAGTACAACCATGGAGTAAGTACTTCATTCTATTAGGATGCCTTCTGATCTTCTCGATCCCACAGTTACACAAAATTTGGCGAGTTCTCGATATGAAAGAAATCGCCGAGAGCAACGCTTTCTTCTACGTAGCGCTATATTTCGTTCTTTTGTTTACTGAAAGCTTGCTTCGAAACCGATTTTTTTTTTTAAAAAAAGTTGTTTTGAGACGACCAAGGAACTTAAGGTTGTATCTTATCGTATATATGGTGAAATAAATGGGTTAATTTGAGCGAAATCGCTTCTGAAACGTAAAATTTTCAATGTGAGGGCGTGCGAAGTGCGTGTACTTACGTTGGTTTCCGACTTTCAATTTTCAGTTTCCTACAACGCGCCCGAGTTGTCTCTCTTACATCGATTATAGATGGCCAGAACATATCACAAATCCAAGAACATGGAAGACATTTCATTATTTTCGACATCTCAGACTCTAGAAGAGTTGGAGCTCTTCAGTTCGCTCCCGATCTTAGTGGAAAGCGGAACTCTTGAACAATATGACGTGTACATAGAAGAGACGGATGCTCTGAAGCATCAACTCGAGCCCTCGTCTCCGCTCAGTTTATCGGCGGCAGACCTGCTTGAGGAATTCGATGTAGAAGGTTGGTATCTTATAGGGTCACTGAAGAAGTTTATGTGTGCTGTTTTCTTTAAAGACGAAACTGAAACTAACTTCTTACAAGTTCCCCTCTCAGAACTGTGAACAATAATTCATAAATATTGAGTGAGGTTTCTCGTTTACTGAATTTGATTGCATCATGTTGCGTCAGTTCTGATATTTACAGCAGAGAGAAAATTCAGCATATTTTCTATTAGGGATCATTGATGTCTAAAGCCATAGAGATGTTTTCATCACTCGAGAGCTTTAATGAAGTATTAACAAAAAGTTTCCTTTTAACTTTTAGCTGGCAATGGAGGTCTGTTGGATTCTGACTGGATGACAGAGAAACTTGAGTTCCATAATACAGAGCCAGTTCTTTCTGTAGATGGTGGTGACCTGGTGAACCTTGCTGATTTTGAATTCACTTCTTCAGAACCATCTGTTTCCATTGAGCCAGAAATTGTCATCACTCCAGAAATTACAGATTCATCAATATCAGAAGGATCCTCAAACACTAACCTCTTTGCAAATGTAGATGAGATTCTCAGGAAGCTGCTCACCAGTGGCAAGAACATAGTTAACACAGTGATAGAGACAGAGGAACAAGTTGGTCCAACATCCCCTTTGCAGAGTGTTCCTGATGTTGACATGGGCTCTCATCCCTCTGTTTTGTCACCCGAGTCAGAATTATTGGAGATTACAACCCCAGTGGCATCCCCTGGTGAAGAGAGTTTCTCATGTCCATCGTCCCCCGAAACACCAGTCAAGAAGACTGTGCAAATTTCTCCTGTAACAACCACCCGAGCAAAGGTCAACCACTTTGAGCCATATCTAAATGACAAACCAGCAAAGGTCAAAACTCCACAGCAAAGGAGAAGAAAGCGGGAGCAGAATAAAGATGCTGCGACTCGCTACCGAGTCAAAAAGCGTGAGGAGCAAGATGTCATGGCTAAAGAACTTGCTGGGCTTGAGAAGGATAATGGCGAACTCAAAGAACAAGTTAATTCTTTATCTAAGGAGATTGAGTACCTGAAAAACTTGATGCTTGAAGTTTATAAAACAAAGCTGCAAAAGCAATCTTTGTTAGCTTCTAACTAAGTTAAGCCATTTTGTTAATGTATATATATGCCTTTTTTCTATTTGGTCCTGAAAATTAACTACTTTTGTTTTTTTTGATGTACTTTGCAAGTGCTGTATTCATCATTTATCACAACAAGCATTATAGAATTGTTATTAACAACATCCGTCTTGTGTTGATGGTGTATAAAGGAAAACGAAGGGTGAAAGAAGTGGACTGATGTGACCTGTTTCCCCCCCTCCCCGTCCTTTTTTCCTTCATCAACTTTTTATTTTCCCCTAATACATCACTACATACAATTCTTTTGATGGTCAGGAGACGAACATTAGAGAATCCTGAGTAAAGTCAGCTACACAAAGCACTGATTAAGGGGAGTTATAGAGCTTCTAGCCTTGCACTCCCATGAGAGATCAAGACAACTTCATACAATATTTAGCAATGGTCAAGCTCAGTGGGAGATGAGAAAAATGAAATATAAACAACTGAGACAATGCGACGATTCCCAAATTGGTGTCATAAGCACTGCCTTGCGGACAGAAAGGAGAATTACTGATGAAATCTTGGTAGTGAAAGGGCTAATTTGAAGCAAACAGTCTCCAACGGAAGGTTAATATACTCTCGAAACAAACTAAACTAAGCATACGTAATTACAATTTGGGTACTATCAAGTTTCTGATGATCATTGCAACCAAAGACCTTTTAAACGATGCTTTGATGAAGGATCCTCGATGATCCAGCGTCCTTTTCTCATATCAAATAATCTGGAAGGAAAAAGATCGGTTAATATAGGAACTGAAGGGCATTTCTGACCCTTCAGCCCTCTCAGGGAAACGAAACAAAGTTTCAAGTCGTTGCAGCTCCCGACTGTTGCAGAAACAAGGTCTCTAAGGTCAAAGTGAAAGTCACTCAAAATATTTTTAAATGAAGATTCGTCGACTTGCACCTGATTTCTACAATTTGTCCCTCTCATATGTAACGATAGTGCGTGATGCACTCTGAAGTCGATGAGCGATAACTTTCATTTTTGTCACGCAATGCCTAACATAAGGTCAATCATGGCGGACACAGGCCTTGGATTTAACCCCGTAGTTGTGAACAGTGTCACTTACATCGGGACCCTTGCAACATTTCTTATAGCTTTGAAGGTACCTGGGATACACGTAAAGAATTTCCCCGCAACAGGTTGTCTCCTAGTCTCAAACGATGCGAAATTTGCCGAAAATCAATATTTCGAATATCTCTTCGTAGGGCTTTGGTCGTTGCACTTTTTGCGCCGAACGATCGAAGTTCTCTTTGTCCACGACTACCGCCGACGAATGTCTGTCATAGAGAGCATAGGAGCACCTATTTATTACTGGTTCTTCGCTTTCTGGATCGGAGTTGCATTACGCCATGAAAACGGATATAGACAAACATTTCTAGCGCTTGTCGTGGCTGGCTCAGTCGTCTTCTTGATGGGCGAGTTTGGTAATGGCTTCTGCCATCTTAAACTTCGTGCACTTCGAAAGGAGAAACGGGAGGATTTCTTTTCTAACGGATCCCAGCATGTTTTGCCTCGTGGATGTCTGTTTGAACTGGTGTCGTCTCCCCACTATTCGTGTGAAATATTATCGTGGCTGGGATTTTTCTTGACCTCGTGGGTTTTATCAGCGGCCATATTTCTTCTTGCAACTTTCATAACACTGGTAACTTATTCATACAAAAAGCACAAAGCATATAAACAAGAATTTGATGGACTAGCCGATAGAGAACTTTATCCAAAAAATAGAAAAGCTCTTATTCCATTTATTTTTTGATGAAATCTCTGTAGTCAGTGACCTTAAGATGACTCGAATCTGGACCTTTATTTCATCGAGAAATAACATGATCTCGAAAGCAGTTAAAAACTCTTGGACCACAAATAGCCTCTCGTGAGGTGTACAGACTCCATTGTCTACATGGGGGTTCTCATCCCCCATGGGGGGGGGGCACCTTCTTGATCCCAGAGGGGACTGAGGAGATTGGAAGGTTACAGCGGCCATGGAAGATGCAATGAGAGGTACGAAAGGAGGAAGAGTCTTGCAGTCTGTATGAACCAAGGTCTCATCCTGGTCAAGTTGATTTTGGTTTGTGAGGTGTTAAGTGACTAAGAGTATCACTTTCCCCCAAAATGGTTTTTAGTCCTTTGCTGGTAAACCCAGGCTCTTTCAAGGTTTCCAGACAGTTTGAATGGAGATATGCACTGAGAATCAAAGTAAATTGCCTCAACCAAGAATGCAAAAAGTTGACCTGGCCTAAGCTAAGACCAGGACCTGTATATTTATTTGATATTTCTATTACAGGCCATCCACATGAAAAGTTTCCTTTTCCATTGTTCAACCAACCAACTTTTTGAAAATTAAAGAAAAATTGAATAAATAAATGAAAAATAAATGACTGACTACATGAAAATCTTCTACGTGAACTGTGAAATAAGATCACAGGGGGCCCATACAATCTGTTTGTGTAGCCGATTGTTATTTTATAGTGAATGTACCAGATTTACCGTTTGCCTTACCTATGGCAATATATTGCTGACTATGTATATAAATCAAGCCAGATATTTTGAATTGGTCATCATTTAACATCGTCCAATCAGAAAAGGGCAATCAGTGTGAAGGTTTCTGGCTGGCACACAAGAATCTTGCTATGCATCCCAGACGCTCTAATACTGTGGAATTTTGATTTTCTTCAAAGACTAGCACCAGTCCGTATGGATGGTTTTTTGATTGGAGGGTACGAGGAGAATCGTGAATCTTTTGACCTTAATGCTGCAAAGTTTGAAATCGGAGCGATGCAATATTCGGGGGAAAAATCGCTCGAGCGCTGGAACCCTTTCAAAACAAGGTTTCCACCCTTGACCTTCTTTTATAAGCTACATTCAGCAACGAACTCAAACTTATTCAAAATCGCTAAAAAAAAATCATTTTTGAGGCAAAAGGATAAGTATACACCACAGGTAAGGTAATTCAACATTTATTTATCATTGATTTATATACATAGTCAGCAATATATTGCTATAGGTGAGGCAAATGGTAATTCTGATACATTCACTTTAAAATAACAATCAGCTACACTTGTAAACAGATTGCATGGGTCCCCTGTGGTCAGATATGCATATGATAGTGATCTTTGCAGTAATGAACAATGAGCTGACAGGGACATTTTTAAGAATTAACAGAGTTCATATTTGTAATTTTATTTCAAACTAGACCATATAAAGACCATCTTTTGAATACAAATTTTCTATGCCTTATTTTCCAACAAATGTTGGACCCACTATCAATTATTTCCCTTCTTCACTTTTCTACTCTTTTTATTTGTCTTTTCTTAGCTCGAATGACTGACCAAATTTCACAAAAGGGAAGGCAATGGGAAAAGAAAAGTTTTGTGGGGATGGCCTTGCTTAAGAGAAAAATCTGCATAATTTCAGACTTAATGACTACAGTAATTCTTTTTCAACTTTTTGGGGGATAGGAAAGAGATTTTCGGTTTTTTTTTTTTTTTTCCAGATGTATTCAGGGAATGTAGCTTCATTCAAAAGTATAGAGCTCCTATTGTAAAACAAATTGTACATGGTATCCTTGCCCCCTTTCCAAAAAAATTGCCACTGGTGAGCTTTCTTCATTTGTTTAGATTGGGCTCAGTAACATGGATCAAGAAGAAAGTTTGTTACTTTGACTCAGAAATAAATGGGATAGGATTGACTCCCAGGTTAACCATTCAACTCTGGATCCCAGAGTGACCAAAACAGAATTTCTCCCTACATTATCAGTATAATATCAAGCCGACCATGGATGAGAATTAAAGAATATTAAGTTAAGGATTATTACTTGATCCAAAACCAAATTCTCCAAATTTAAGTCATAAGAGTTGTATAGTAGACAGTAGTGAGAAATGCTAATATTTTGGGCACAAAAGGGTTGACAATGTCAACTCCATTGGCAGTAAAGGTTACATGTCCAATACTGTTACAATGCATTATTTTGTTATTCAGGTTTTTTATTAAATATTTGAAACTATTTTTCATGAACATCAGTTAATTCTCATTAAATCCGCAATATCAGTCAAATGAACATTCAGTGATGATTTTCTCTACTAGATTAATAATTCTGCTATGAACAAATTTTACAATGAAATGCATTCAATAACAAATATTTTAGAGATTGCCTTTCAAATATTATTAGTAGTAAACTTTTTATTTCAAAATTTCAGATAGTTTTTACGAAGAATTTTGGTTAAAAAAATTAAGTTCTGCTATTAATACTCATTTTTTTTACTGTATTGGCTTATTTTAATCTTTCCCAAAGGATCTCGACTGTATTGGGTAAACTATTCTCAACATACATTCTTTCATATATTATAATAAGAACCTTTTTTATAAGAACGTTTAGGCTGAGATTAACCAAAATTCAAAGAACGTACTGAGAACGTACCCAGGCTGAGAGCTAGTAAACGTTTTCATTCTGCTCTCTGTCTTTTGTGGGAGCGAAGTTTAAATGATGCTGTGACTATGTACTCGGCAACCGGGATTGTATTGTATGATTATTCAATAAACAGTCATTCATACTAGTTTTGGCCATTTTTTTGTCTTCAGAACTTTTCGGAGGAGGAAGCCATAGTAAATTATTCCTTAGAAAAGAAAAAAATAAAATAAAAGAAACAGTTTTCACCTAGTTTAGGCACCGGAGGGATTTGAACCCTCGACCTCCTGTTTACTAGACAGGCGCTCTAACCACCTGAGCTACGGCGCCCACGCGCTACAATACGTGAAATTTATTTTATTTATATATAAAACAAATGTTCTCTGCGAGTTTACGTTCTATATTAGTTGATAAATTTACGATTACTTTTTTTTCTAGCTACTGAATGAAAATTTAAGTCTGAGTGAACACAAAACTGCAATACAACAGCGTAGGAAGGCAAAATTAAAGCTTTCTGATGGTCATTTCGTTCTAGCGCACGCGTTGAGTGTCAGGGGAGGCCCCAGAGTCCTCAGCAACCAATCAGATCGTGCAAAGCGGAGCGTGAACTGACGGCGCGGAGCGTAGTATGACCAACGGTATCAAATCTCTCAGAATCCAGCCGTTGCAATTACCTTTCTAATTCATTCGTAGTTTAGACCAATACTTTTGCTCTAAACTTCAGATTTCCTCTCTTATAATAGTTTTAATTAGTTTTCTATCCTCTAGCACAAAATAGTTTCACCGTGCTTTCGAAAAATGAAGCTTCGAACGCGAATTCCATCACGAGCGAGGGCTTCAATGCTCGCCTTACCAGAAGAAGTTATCCTTCTTATCCTAAAGCGTTTTACAGCGCATGAATTGATGGATCTTAGAATGGTGAGTAGAGTAAACCAACCCTTGTATAAAACAAATGCGAGGTCTTTAGTTTATTTTATCCAAAACAATCGAAAGTTGAATGACCGTTGGAAAGTCGCTCGCCTCGCAGACGCGGTGGCCATTCTCTGACCGTTAATCATTCGTTCGTTCGTTTTGTTCTTGATTTAACTGCTTTGTTTTTATGCTGTCTTTAGGTTTGTTCCAGACTCAAGTTACTCGTAGACGAATCATCTAGTCTCTGGATTTCAGCTTCTTTCCTCGGAGTTTGGCCATCACTCAAAAATCTGCCTCTTCTACAAAGGTTTGTTGAACGACTTGTGTAACGGAATTCGGTCGCTTTGCGCGTCATTCGAATTTCCCTCCATTTCAAACGAGTGTTCTCCACTTAGTAACAGACTGAATAATTTATATTTAATCCATCAGAAATTTTTCTATGTGACTATTTTCTGTTATTAACTCTAATTGTTTTAAAGGGCTGCAAATTTGGGAAATCCAGAGGCTCTTATCAAGCTCGGACTCGCTCATTTGTATAACGAAGGAAGTAAGTGATCATGCATCTGAAAAGCACAATGGAACACAGGACCTTCTGGGTCCTAACCCAAAGGAAGATTAATATACTATATAATGTTTTTCTGTAACAGAAAATAAAAAACTAAAATTATAATATTATTGCCATTTTAATGATCCTAACAAATATGTCAACGCTTTAAAATATTTGATTAGACATTTGTTGTATCTGAACGACACATGAGAGTTTTGTTATTGATTTTATCATATACGACCCTTTAAAAATAGCGAAAAAAATTTGAAAGAAATGACCATGCTGTACAGTTTTCTTGCAAAATGTATCACTTTAGGCTTTCTGCTGTACAACAACTGATTTTCCAAAATTTTTGCACCAACAATTACCGTTGATTATGTAAAGTTTCAGAAAATGGAGAGAAAGGTGTCAACGCAAAAGAAAATGGTCGTCTTGCGGCAGAATTCTTTTTTAAAGCAGAAAGCATCATTCAAAATGGTGCGCCATTCACATGGTTTTTTGTGCGTCCTCCTTGGGCACCTTCTGGTGTGTGCTGTAAATCCTGTGTCTTCAATAGTATGGTGGAGCTGTGTTCAGATCCTGTGGTAAGTTATGTAGTTCAAACTCTCCTATTGAATAGGGAACATGAAGTTAGGGACAAGTCATCATTTATTGCCTTAGGATGGGGGTAATCAGAAGGTTTAGGGGATCCCCTCCACATCATTTTAGGGAGAACAGAGAGGGGATCAGTGCCAACTGAAGGGGATAATAAGAGTATTACAAAGCCTTCTGGGTAGATTCTGGTAAATTCGATTGTGACAAAATCTTCCCCACCCCCAGACCCTTTGCAGTAAATAATGACCATTCCCTCAGGTGTTGATGTTAGTCTGTCGTCATTATTAGTTTCCCACACTGCCAGAGATGCTGTTGTTTCTACCAGTGGTAGGCTTTCCCTCTCCCTTTTTCAAGGATGTGCTAGTCCATTACAGATTACCTTAAGCATTTCAGCAGGTCTCCCTGGCAGTTTTCTGTCAATCATTGATACTCTCGGCAGTATGAGTGTCAAGAATCTTCTACAAGAATACAAAACAATGATACCAGACCCTGTAAACCATTAAATTGGGAAGAAATAAGAAGTAATTCTTGCACTTTTTTCCCATGATAACACAATTCAAACAACTGATATTTAGTTATTTATTTTCAGGTCAATAGCTCAATGTTGTACAGTGTAGGAAAAATACTTAGTTTGCATGAGGTATGTTATGGTTCAGAGCAAATCCTTTTTTTGAAATGTAGGCCTTTGAATATTTAGCAAGTCAGTAGACTACTGGCTAAATATCAAATACCTATAAGAAGACTACATCACAGTAAACAATCAATCAATTCAAAACTACAATATCCTCCCATCCCACATATTTGAACTTTTAAAGATTGACTTGTTCAAATTCCTGTCTTTGGCTATAATTGCATTTAATTCCTCCCCCCC